TGCCAAGTTTACTGAAAAGAGAAAATCTAAAAATATTTTGAGGCCAGTGTCTGGCTTAATCTAAAGAAAAAGCTTTAGAGAAGTTTACTTTTACTTGGCTTGGCTTTCATAAATCTGTTGTTCCTTGCAAGGCAGTAACTCCATAACTCCCATGAATAGTAAAAGTCCCTGAGGTTAAGAGCCCTTTGTGAATCAGAGGCCTGGCAGGACTACACAACTTCCCCACACAAAGACACACATCCAGTGTGTGACCATGAGATAGAATTTCCAAGATGTTTGGCCACTATTCTCTTACTTTTAAATTGCTAATTGAAAGAAAAACCAAAGAAGGCTACCTTGGACATCATTGGGCAACTGTCCTCTGAGGAATCCAAACTTGACTATTGAAACTGAAATCATTACCCAATTATTTTAGCAAATTCTATTAGTTCTTTCATTATGCCAAAGTTGACTTTCCTTGTCATCCGGGTTGCATTTGATATGTGACTAAGTTGGCTAGGCCTCAATAAATTTTGCAGTATTGTAAATAAAATCACAAGAGAGAAGTTCTTGTTTTCCATAGAGACAAGATGATTTCTGCTTGGGCTTATTAAAGTATTTCTTTCAGTATCATATTTTCTGATTTATTAAAAATTGACATCTTGGGAAGGTTTATGCAAAATAAAACATCTACTTTCTACAAGTGTTTTCTGTATGCACTAAAAATTTTGGAGAATTATGGATATGCAAGGTAAGTAGAGAATTAAACTTGAGGGAACGGGGTTAGTAAATAATATAAATACTGGTACTAAAAGTAGATAACTTTAGGAGAAAGTGGTAAAGTGCTACATTTCCATTTCTCATTGATAAACATGAAAATAATTAGATAACAACTATTGCCAAGTTTACTGAAAAGAGAAAATCTAAAAATATTTTGAGGCCAGTGTCTGGCTTAATCTAAAGAAAAAGCTTTAGAGAAGTTTACTTTTACTTGGCTGATTTTCTTACTACATACGTGACTGATGAATTCAGTTGTTCAATTGGTGGATAAAAAAATTAATGAGATAAAATAGTTTCCCTTCTTCTGTACTACTATAAAGACTATATTATTATTCATGGAGAAAGATAACTAAAAGAATATGTCACAAATATAAACCCAATGCTTTATCCTCTATAATTTTAGAATGATAAAATCATTGAGTAATCTTCTGGTCCAATTATCTGACCCCCATAAAAATATTTTTATGCCATGAGTTTATTTATAAACATATATTTATATTAAATAAGTATCATATATATGTATAATATATATGTATATAATATATATCTATATCTAATCTCTCTATATATATACCTAAAGCAGCCCACCAATGTGATGTCAAGGGGAATTCCAACGTAACTGCAATAGAAAAGAAAAAGGCAGTGTTCATTTTTGAAATACACATTATTGTTTTACTTATGAAGAAATACTTGTTTGGTCAAATCATATCTCCATAACAAAGAGAAATCTTGTCTACATTCACAAAATCAAGTAGTGCCAAAGTGGTACTTAAGTCATTGTCTAAAAAGGTCATTTGTTAAGTCAAGTATTTGAAACTCCTCTCCTAGGAATGATGTCATGGTCTGTGGGATTCTCAGGTCAGATTCACACAATCAACCTGAAGTAATACGTGGCAGCAATGATCCTAAGACTGTTTGGAATCCTCAGTTCCAGTTCTCTGGAGCTCTGGGTGACCTTCCTTCTGAAAGATCTATTGAGCAATATTTTTTAAGTGTTTTCTATGTTCCATGTGTTGGAAAATTAACTTGTAACTTTTCTGGATCCAGAAAACCTATTGTCTGAAGGCTGAGACCCTGAAGACTGAGCCACTTTATGCTCCAAAATCTTTTTTGCAAATATCCTATGACTGCCTTCCAGGAATACTTAAGCCCCAAAGTAAAATTGAGAATTTGAGATGGGCTTCCCTGATCCTCCAAGTTACTAAAAGAGTTTGTATCTGAGGAAACTGATGCTAGGAGATTGATGTACTGGTACTTTCTCATAGCACTGAGGCTGAGACATAGCAATTCATTTTGAAATTGTGTGTTCTTAACTCGGAGACTGATTATACCCATCGATAGATCAGAGCACTGAAAATATGAGTGATATTTAGGTAGTTACATAGTAGTTAAACAGAATCTCCTGCAGCAAGAAAATAGCCCATGGATTCCGGAGAAAACAAGAGTTGGCTCCAAGTCCTGCTGGGACCTGTGGGAATTCCAGCGCTCTCCTCCTTCAATATGAAGGCCTGTTGAATCAGGAGCATGGACTCAGGCATCCTTCGGTGCATCTTTTCTTCTGGATTTAGGCAACAGTTTGAGGGATTTCAGTGAGGATAACTTCACATCAAAACTGGTTATTCTCATGTAATTAGAGTTGGGAGTCATTTATGTGGCTCAGTGATAAATAATCCACTTTCAATAAAGGATGCGTGGGTTTGATCCCTGGGACAGAAAGATAACTTGGAGAAGGAAATGGCAACCCACTCTAGTATTCTTGCCTGGGAAATTCCATGGACAGAAGAGCCTGGTGGACTACGGTTGATGGGATCACAAAGAGTCAGTCATGACTGAGCAACTAAACAGAAGTAGTTAATAAATAATAATAGCATTGAATTATAACTTGTGGTTGATTACCACTCATGTTTTTACTAATGTGTTTCTCTTTAATAGTGGAAGGCAGTAAGAAATAAAAAGTTACAAGGGAAGAGTAAACCTTGAATAAATGGATGAAGGAATGGATAAAATTACTTTTACTCATTAATTATAGGCCAAACACCATGTCAGACAACTTCTCGCACACAAGCTTCACAAGATACTACCCATTTTGTAGATGAGGCAGTTATGTCTAACAATATAAGTGATGTTATATCTTGCCTCAGACAAACATCTGACAGAAAGTAAGGACTGGAATTTGAATCTGTTTTATTCAAACTCCAAAGCTCACAAGTAGAAATAAAAACCCTTTGATCTTAGAACCTGATGGTGGTAGTGGTTTAGTCACTAAGTTGTGTTTGACTCTTGAGACCCCGTAGACTGTAGCCCACCAGACACCTCTGCCCTTGAATTTCTCAGGCAAGAATACTGGAGCAGGTTGCCATTTCCTCCTCCAGGAGATCTTCCCTACCTAGGTACTGAACCTGCATCTCCTGCATTGGCAAGCAGATTCTTTACCGCTGAGCCACAAGGGAAGTCATATTTTTGTTAAAATAATTATTAAGAAGTTTGCAAGGCTGCAAGTACAGATTTCCTCAGGTCCCAGCTCCCAGTCTTTGGACAAAATCTGCTTCAAGAAAGGATTTGGAGAGAAAGAATCTAACAGCGGAAAACCCTTTACAACTGATAACAAGTTGAATGGGAGCAACTGATAGAAAGTTGAACGGGAGACAATAGGAAACCGCTACATTTCAATACAGTTTTGAATTGGACAATGTAGCTAATCAAAACCTCTCTGAGGAAATGGAAGAGGAACTTGATGGAGGAGAAGGTGTGAGGGAGGTGATGAAGAACTTTTATCATCAGTTTTTATTATTTCTCCATCAGAGGACACTATGCATACATCAAAGTTTTACTCTTATGTATCGATTTAGGTACAATATCCAGATTGACTACATTTTGTTTCCTTTATTTTAGTTTGCTTACCAGTTGAAGTGATGGCAACATGAAGAATAGTTACTGAAATACCATAATCCCAAACCCACTCTTCCACTACCAGAACGAAAAGTAATCCACAAACAAAGTAGGTGACCTCTGTTGAGACTAAAAGAACTGCAAATAAAAGGAAGAATAATAGAATTATCGGGGATTAGAGTAATTAATAATTCTAAAACACAATTAGTAACAGGACCACCACAATTTATTCTGCAAAAAAATTTTTGTAAGAAACTTTTAACATTTCATCTCTTAACATTCCTCAAATTTGAATAAGAACTTTAAAAATATTCCATCTCTTAATAATTGTTGGACTTATAGAGAAATAACAGTACATAATTTCTCTTTCATATTCTTTATATTTAGTATTTTAGAAGGTAAAATACAATAAAGAAAAGTTACAATGTAACTGATGCACGCTGATCTGTAACTAGATTTCAAATCTCATTTGAAGATATATTAAAAACTAATGAAAAATTCAGCTCTGGGTTTTCAGAAAAAAAAAATGTTAATAGTTTATTGAACAATAATGTTTCCTTAGTACCAGTTATTGCCTAACTTGGAAATGAGTTCCTTTGTGTCTTTGTAATAAAAGGGTATGTTCAGATAGTCATCTGGGGAACATAATGGATAACCATGGATGAAAGAACGTCTCATAAATGACTCATGTGGATGGAGGTACTTTTCTAAATCCAGGATGCTTTTTCAGAGTGTTTTCCCTCAACATATATAAATAGCTAGTTATTCCTAGGTCAGTACCGTAGATCTCTAAAAGCCTTTAACATGTGAAGAGTCAACCTTTGCCTTTTTCTTTGATATAGATCTTAAGAGTGTGGTGGTTCCAAAGATGAGATTCATCAAACTTTAAAATGAAAATACATGGGACATACCACCAAGGTTCCTTCATAATGATACCAATGTCCATAAAAGCTATCTTTCTTTTAAAACACAGAAAATGATAGGTATGCTCATATAAATAATTAACAAATTGATCAGTCCAGGCAGGCAAATTGTGTACTTTTCAAAGCTAAAAGTAAAATAGTCACATGATCTGTTATTGTGCAGAAGTAATTTTTTTTTTCTCTCTTTTTTTTTTTTTATTTTTATTAGTTGGAGGCTAATTACTTTACAACATTGCAGTGGTTTTTGTCATACATTGAAATGAATTAGCCATGGATTTACATGTATTCCCCATCCCGGTCCCCCCTCCCACCTCCCTCTCCACCCGATCCCTCTGGGTCTTCCCAGTGCACCAGGCCCGAGCACTTGTCTCATGCATCCAACCTGGGCTCAGAAGTAATTTATTAACAGACATGCCAGCCATTGCCTAGTGGGTCAGCAAGACATGAAATAAGTAAGCAAGTCTCAGGTGCCAGCCTTTTAAAAGACCTCACACTTATTCCTCTTCAATTCTACTTCATTCAATTCAACAGATTTCTAAAACGGAACAGAGAACTCCTACTAGCTTCTTTTCTGTTGTATGGAGTTACAATTATAGCATGTCCTGACCTCTAAACTCAAGGCTGTGGACGGAGCTATACTGTGGTATCACATTGCCATTAGCGCTGCCCATCACATCTCCATTTCTGCCTTCATCGGGGCTCACGGAGTCTCTCCATGTTACTATAAGGAAATAGATATGTCTCTTTTATCAGTATTTACAGATTTGACGAGTTAACTTGCAGGTGCTTAGAGACACTGATTTCGGTCTTGAACAAACTGTATTCACCTATATTGATAGAGGAGGATTGTGCTTTGTCTACGATATGAGATAGCATGATTTAAAGGAAGTCATACAAAATTTGAAGTCAGGATACCAGTGTTCTAGTCTCACCTTATAGCTTAAGAGTGCTATGACCTTGAGTAGGATTATAACTTCTAAGTCAGTCTAATTATTCCTCGCTAAATTGGGAAATGGATTACTATCATATCTACCTCAAAAACTGTTGAGAGGATTTTATTTTAAAATGAAAACAGTTTACAATCCAGTCTCTATGATGCAAGAGAAAGATGTTAGTAGTCAAATGTCTCAATTGGACCCACACTTTTCAATGTCCTTGCTAAGCCTGATCTCCTAAGTAACAAAACTGTTGAAACAGACAAGAGCCTGACCCTCAATACATGCTCAAGGCTCAGAGATTATGCTTACATTTTATCTCCAAGATTAAACAAGTCTGGATTCTCAAAGCAATAACTTTGAAAAGTTATGACACTTATCTCTCCAAGACCAAAACTAAAGATCTAATAGGCTAAGGGTTTATTGATATCTTTGTACAAATGTTAGTTGTTTTTTGAGAGAGGAAAGTACAACTTTGACTGTGCATGGCATTCTGAGGATTTTCACTAATCTCTGCTATGTCAAAACACAGCTTTCTCCAATAAGCCTGTGTCATTGTCCTATCTATCACTAACCGTCTCAAACGCAAGAATTAAATAACAGTTGGATTTTAAATCTCTCTACCCCAAACACTCAACCCATTTGTAACTCTTTCTTGTGACTATTTCTTTATCATTTATGGATCAGCTTGGAAGAAAAAGTTAATTCAGTCTTCAACAGGGAAATGTGTGAAGTGGAAGTTAAGATAGAAAGTTAGAACTCGTATCTCATTAGAATGAAAGTTTCTTGTACTAAGATATCTTTGTCTATCCCAAGTTGAATCAATAATGGCATGAGAAAAAGGTTACCCATTTGAAGAGGCTGTTCTGAAAGTTTTAAATTCAGTAGTTCTAGCTGACCAAGTTTCCTATACAAGTCACATTTGGCTTCAGGCACTTTTTGTACATTTGCATATTTGTTCCAAAAAAAGGTGTCCAGTGGTTTTCTAAAGAACTTTACTGTTTGAAGAATCCACAATTCATTTTTTTTAAATGTGGTAAGAAATTTAACATAATGTTAAGAATGATTATTTCTTCAACAAAAATAGTAAGTTTAAAAGAGATAAAATTTTTTCCTACTATATTCTTGCTTATCATTTTTCCTTTGCAACAAGTTTTACACTATTTTGGGGAAGGAAAAAAATCAAACTAAGCAGAAATGTACAAAGCAGAAAATGAAAGTCCTCTGTCATTCCAGCTGGGAGATAACAGTTTGTTGCATAATTCTCCAGACTTCTTACCACTGACATGATGTATTTTACTCTATTCTACAAAAATGAATAATTAGACTATACAAACTCTTGGTAGTCTTTATTTTCCATTTCATATGTCATAAATATCTTTCTACATCATTCCATTAAGCCATTTTTCTGCCTTTTCTTTGAAAAATATTTAATGCACAAAAACTTATCCATAATATCACTAAAATAAAAATTTGTTTAGGAAAACTATCCTCTTATTTCATCCTATTCCATCTTTTAGCAATAGTCGTTTAAAAAAATTTGATGGCACTTTTCCACATTTTAGGAGTCAGATATAGGATACAGATGGCTGAGAAGAAGGCTTGATATTTTTAAAATTTTTGTAAAACAAAAACTATTTTGATTTTTGGAGGCATTTAGTTCACTAATTAACAAAGATTGGAAACTAAAACCAGTTACCTTTATAATTTGTGTTGAGCCATGAAGGATTTGTTTTGAAATCAAATGGTGCCAGGACATCCAACTCATACACCCTGAGGATGTTACAAATGAAAATAGTTTACTCTGGAGGAGGTAGTTCACAAGGTTGCACATCAACATTTTGCACCTCAAATGTTCCCATACAAGGACAAGTCAGCTTTAATCACTTTGTGGCACATTTGAAAACTGGCTGGCTTGAATGGGAGCCGAATGTCTTCCTTACCCACACTGTCTTCTTTGTCCAGTGACATCTGCTCTCCAAGGGGACTTTATGGTATTTGAGGTCTCCGCTGTAGTCTTGGAGGTCCCTTCCATCAAGTGTGGGTGCAAAACCTAACATTGTGATGAGGGCTTATACTGGGAAGCAACAGGGCCAGCTGTAATTCTGATGATGCTGTTAACTATGAGCTTGGGCAGCTGCTTAACCCCTCTGAGCTTTCATTTCTTACCTGTACATTGAAGCAATTAATCTCTGAGGTCTCTTTCTGTCTAAAATCTGAGTCTACACTCACATTGGACATAACATGAGCCTACATTTTCATAGTAGACATAGAAAACAAAGTTCTAGCTACCAAAGGGGAAAGGGTTGGAGAGGGATAAATTAGGAGCTTTGGATGAGCAGATACATGCTACCACATATAAACTAAATAACAAGGACCTACTGTATAGATAGGAAACTATATTCAATATCTTGTAATTACCTATATGGGAAAAAAATCTGAATCACTTTGTTATACACCAGAAACTAACACAACATTGTAAACCAACCATACATCAATACAAAAGTAAAATGATTTAAAATGAAAAAAAAAAAAAAAGAAAATTAAATCTGATTATAAACTCTGCATCTCCTACCACGCCCAAGTTTGTAGCTGTGTGTAGCTGGTCAACCAGTTATCTGCCTCCTGGGGCTTTAAGGCCCGGTTACTTCAAATTCCTCACCTCTGATTAACATTAACTAAAAACCCTTGGAATCCCACGCTCAGAGAACTTGGAGTATTCTGAGACCTTTACTGCTCTAGGCGCTGCCTCACCCTCTCCAGTCCCAGGCAACAGCTGAAACTGTGTGTGGACACACCAGACTCCTCCTAACTGGGCTTGCCTCAAGCAAGCTTTATAGCATCATTCCCACTGCAAAAGTCAATAGAATCATTTCTGGGCGTTGATTTCCACACTGAAATTGAAAAGTCCCAATTCCCTGCTTACACAATAAAATTCAATTGTATAAACAATCAATTTCTAGGAAATTCTTTGTAGCTATACAAAATGTATTTCAAAGAAATCAATGTATTGGCAAGCTAAATTTGTAAGGATAAAATTCAAGCCTAGCAAGACAAAGAAAAATTACCTTTAAAAAAATGCCTCACACTTAAAAATTTCTTTAAAAGTACATGTATTACTTAGTCCTCATGATAGCTCTCTTTTGGATTATTACCTTCACTTGACAAATGAAGATAATTGAAGTAAGAGAAGCTCTCTGGCTTAGTCAGGATGATTCAGGAAGTTAGTAAGAACCTGGGCTGGAATGCAGATCTCCTGACTTCTCAGTCTAAAGCTATTTCCAGTATGTAGCAGAAAATATTTAAATTGGATGTAGATTATATCTAAATTCCCTTCTAGTTCAAATGCCCTCTGATCTCTGATGCAACACCAGCCCAGGGAGTAATAGCTTCACTTTCTCTCCATGATCATCCTCATAAGAGGAACAATCCTGCCCGGTTCTACTCATTTCATGATTGCTACTTATATCACTTTCAAAGCTGACACATTTGCTTGTTTTCACTTTAAAAACAAACCAAGAAAGTATACCATGGGGAAAAATCTGCATCCTTTATTCTATAAAGATACGTTGAGTATTCTACGTGAACGTCTTTCGTGTTGGACCTGAACTTTTGAATTGTTTGAAGGTGATGTTATACTTACTTGAGCATCACACAGCACACACCCAGAACCACGTAGTACACAGCGTAGAAAAGGATGACACATACGAGAAGGTTCCTCCAAACGACCTGCGGAGAGCACAGGGGTGAGCGCCAAGAGCCTGGGCTTTTTCCCATGGTTGTTGGTAAGGAGGTTGACAAACAAAAGACAATGAATGACTGCTAGATCACGTTGGCTAGCCTTGTTTTGCCTGCAGACCTATGTGGTGGGAACGACTTCAAAGTACACAGTAAAAGTGTTGCCGACTAGAGAAGCTGGCATAGTACATGTCTGCAGCAAGGATCAATGCAGTACATAAATCCGTACTACCTATCCATCATCTACCACAACAATATTTATGTTTTTACATAATTACATAAATTTTACAAAATTTATGTTTTACTATATTGTGTCAATATTTATGTTTTCACCTGATAAAATGATTCTAAATCTCAGCTGCCACAACAGTAAAATACGAGAAAGGCTAAGAAATTTTGAAAAGTATAAACAAAAAATTTATACAGCAATAGCTAAATTCCTGTGCTAGAATTTATAGAGCAATTGGCTAAAACAGAATAGATGGTCCTGAGACGAATTTTACCACCTGTGAAACTTAAGAAGGAAGCACTGCAGATGAATGAGGAACAGATGGATTATTCAACAAATAGTGTTGTGAAAATTGTCTAACTTCTAGATTAAAAAAAAAATCTCATTAGATTGCAGTCTTGTATGAAACACCAAAATAAACTTCAGATGGATTTAAGGTTTAAATGTCAAGAACTAGAACAGGAGAAAACATTTGCAACATATATCACAGGCAAAGGATTGCTATCTGCAATATTTAAACAAATTTGAATATAAAAGAGACAAACCAATGAAAAAGGGACAAGGTATATAAATAGGCAGCTCATATGAATAAACATTTGAAAAACCGATGAGCAATTGAAAATGTTTAGAAGACCTCCTTGTTGATCTTTTAAAGATATATTTTTGTGAATATAGTAAAAATGTTAGCATTTCATATGTTTTTTTTTTATGGTTTGTTCTTTTCCTTTGGAATCTTTTAAGAAGTCATCTTGTTTACTCAAGACTTTAACACTTCAGGATGGCTCTTTTCTCTGAATAACCGATCCACCAACTTGACCAAGTCTTTTAATTGGCCTGGGTACAGAAGGAGCCGTCCTTCTGTAGAGGCAAGAAGAGAAGACAGTAGCACAGAGCCCATCACAACCAACTGGCTGAATGGATTAAATTTGTAGATTTACTAACAACTCCCTTCTTTCAACTACTAAAACTAGGTGACCTCTCGGGCCTAAGAGGGCCATAAGAAATCCAGACTGCAGGGTTTTGACCCCTTCAGAACCCTGCCTCTCTCTCCCCACCTCACGTCACTGTTGGCCTCTCATACCCTTTGCCTGGAGACTCCTCTTTGCTCATCAAATCCCTTCTCTTTCTGCCCATTGTTCTCAGCCTCCCCTTGGTCTTCAGTATTTCGCATTCTTTGTCTTCTGTTCTTTCTTCCTTCATGATCCTTCTTTTGTGTGTATTCATTCCCTAAGTCATGCCTGATTCTTTGTGACCCCATGGACTGCAGCAAGCCAGGCTTCCCTGTCCTTCACTCTCTCCTTGAGTTTGCTCAAACTCATGTCCATTGAGTCAGTGATGCCATCCAACCATTTCATCCTCTGTTGCCCCCTTCTCGTTCTGCCCTCAATCTTTCCCAGCATCAGGGTCTTTTCCAATGAGCGAGATTTTTGCATCAGGTGGCTAAATTATTGGAGCTTCTGCATCAGTCCTTCCAGTGAATATTCAGAGTTGATTTCCTTTAGGATTCACTGGCTTGATCTTCTTGCAGACCAAGGAACTCTCAACAGTATTCTTCAGCACCACTGTTCATAAGCATCAATTCTTTGGTGCTCAGCCTTCTTTAGGTCCAACTCTCACATTGGTACATGACTAATGGAAAAACCATATTTCTGACTATATGGACCTTTCTTGGCAAAGTAATGGATGTCTCTGCTTTTTCTCATTTGTTGAGAAGATGACTTAGAGGTCAAGAGAAAATATGAAAGCTTCACTTGAATTGAAGGTCCAGATACTGCTCCCACATTTAAGTTGGATCAATTCCTGCCCAGCTGTTAGGATGAGAATCTGCTGATGGAACATGAGTATTATGATAGGGAGCAACTTTGGGGCTTCTGAAGTCTTACAGTTTTCTGGAAGGTCATACATCTTTGGATTCGCTTTACTTTTTATTCTATACATTAATATAAATTTGATTTTCTTTTAATTTGGGCATTAATAACCTCTAGTTGAAATATTTCTAGATGATTGTTTACTCATTTCCAACCAAAAAAGATAAATAACATGTAGTCTCTATACTAATATGTAGTCAAACATGAAACTTTTCTTATTTCTATGTTAATACTGAAATTTAAGTAACATTTAATTTTTAAATATACTCATTTGCTATAGAATTTTGCTTTCATAATCCAAACAGAGGATTGTGCTTCACACTTTGCAAACCCAAAAATGCTAAAAATGTGTAAGATATCTGGAACTACTTTTTAATGAATCATAATTTGTGAGAGAACACGTTGACAAATTTATAACATATAGGTATACCTACTTTCCCCAACAAATTTATAAAACACTACTTACCAATAGAATGGTATAATACACATTTTAAAACTGTTTTGAGTGGAATATATTGAAAAACAAGGCACTCTTTTTGTAAATAACTATTTTTCCTGCCTGCATAATAAATCTAAATTTTCAAATGATAATTTTCCTATAAGCAAATTCAGTTGCCTCTAGTAATTTCTGCCTGTAATCTTTTCTCTATCAGCCTACAAAAGTAACTTTATAAAAGGCAATCAGACCATGACATTCCCCTACTGGCTATCCTTCAATGGCCCCGCACTGTCATCAGGATTCATTCATCCATTTTTTCATTTGACAAATAGTCACTGGGCTGGGTGGCATTGCAAGATGAATTGGATGTGGTCCCAGGCATAAATACCCAGTGTAGCAATGTTCATCAAATGTATAAACATCAGAACTCACATTGAGGCCCTGTTAAAACAGATTTCTGGGCCCTAGCCCCAGAGTGTTTTATTCAGTAGTTCTAGGGTGGGCTCCAGGAATTTGCATTTCTAACAAGTTTCCAGGGGATGCTAGCACTGCTGCTTCTAACACCAAGCTTTGAAGACTACTAATCTAAAGGCAAGACTGGTGGCTGGCTATGAAACAGACAGAAAAGCTGGGATTGAGGAGTGCAAAGTGCAATGGAGCTTTCCCCGGTGGCTCAGCAGTAAAGAAACCATCTGAATGCCAGAAACATAAGTTCAATCCCTAGGTCAGGAGGATCCCCTGGAGGAGGGCGTGGCAACGTAATCCAGGATTCTTGCCTAGAGAACCCCATGGACAGAGGCGGCTGGTACAGTCTACAGTACTGCAAAGAGTCTGACACAACTGAAGCGACTTAGCACGCATGCACACACAGAGTGCTCTGGAAACCCAAGGGAGAGACAGGGGTTTGTGGAGGGTGGGGTGACAAGGAACATTTTTCCAGGGGGAAACATTCAACACTAATATTCACTGTAGGTTAGCCATGTACTTCCCTTATAGCACAGTTGGTAAAAAATCCGCCTGTAATGCAGGAGACCCCAGTTCGATTCCTGGGTTGGGAAGATTCCCTGGAGAAGGGATAGGCTGCCTCTGCCCATTCCACTATTCTTGGGCTTCCCTTGTGACTCAGCTGGTAAAGAATCTGCCTGCAATGTGGGAGACCTAGGTTCAATCCCTGGGTTTGGAAGATCCCTTGGAGAAGGAAAAGGCTACCCACTCCAGTATTCTGGCCTGGAGAATTCCATACACTCCAAGGGGTCACAAAGAGTTGGACACGACTAAGGGACTTTAAAAAAAACAAACAAAAAGCTGTGTACTTGGCACCATCTATGCATTATCTCAGGCTTCCCAGGTGGCGATCGTGGTAAAGAACCCACCTGCCAATGCAGAAGATGCAAGAGACATGGGGTTTGATTCCTGGGTGGGGAAGATTCCCAGGAGCAGGGAATGGCAACCCACTCCAGTATTCTTCCCTGGAGAATCCCAGGGACAGAGGTGCCTGGCAAGCTACCGTCCACTAGGTCGCAAAGAGCTGGACACGGCTGAAGCGACCGAGCAGCACGCACGCGTTATCTCATTTAATCCTCATAAACATTTTGAAAGATAAGTCTATTCACTTAGTCCAAGTCTATTATTATTATTATTATTTTTAGAGAGAAGAACAATGAGGCTCAGAGAAGTCTAGTTAGTTTTTCAAAGCTTGTCAGTAAATTGCAGAGCTGGGATTCAAATTCTGCTAACTCTTAACCATTACGCTGGGGTCAGGGTTCTGCTCAAGGCCAAAGAAAGTACCTGCAAAGATGTAGGGGTCTGCGTGGGGGTGAGAGGTGGTAAGAGAGTTTAAAGAGGATGGGGAACACATGTACACCCATGGCTGATTTATGTCCATGTGTGGCAAAAACCACTACAATATTGTAAAGTAATTAGCCTCCAATTAAAATAAATAAAATTTAAAAAAAGATCATGAAGGGAATCTTATGCTTTAATAAAATTTCCAGTGTCTCTGAAGGGAAGACTGTGAAATATTCAAGAATAGTAGACTGGAGAATGGCAACCCACTCCAGTATTCTTGCCTGGGAAATCCCATGGACAGAAGTGCCAGGTGGGCTACACAGTCCATGGGGTCACAAAGAGTCAGACATGACTTAGCAACTACACAGTGTAGACTGGAAAGGGGCTATTAAGTAAGGAAACCATTGAAAGAAATGCTGACTTTGTGACATGATAGAGGTGTTAGCTAATGAGCTGGTGGTAATCATACTGCAGTATATAAATATATCAAACCAACTTTCTGTGCACCTTAAACTAACACAATGTGATATGCCAATTATATCTTGATTAAAAATGCAAAGAATAAAATAAAGGGGTTTTTAATACTCTTGACCAGCAGTGGAGATGGAGAAGATGAATGTGAGGGCCAGTGAAGAAATAGAATCAGCAAGTTGTGGGGGCTTAAGGA